CCTCAGCCTCCCAAAGGCGCGGGATTACAGGCTGAGCCACTGAGCCCGGCTTGGCATTTTCTTAAAGAACTAAAAATGGAGCTATGATATGATCCCACAATCTCAGTTCTGGGAATATACACAAAGGAACAGAAATTGCTTTACTAAAAAGACACCTGCACATGTATGTTCACTGGAACACTGTTCACAATAGCAAAAACATGGAACCAACCCACATGCCTATTGAAAGCAGACGGGACAAAGGAAATGTAGTACATATACATGATGAAATACTATGCAGTCATAAAGAAAAACAAAAGTATGTCCTTAGCAGAAACATGGATGCAGCTGGAGATCACCATTCTAAGCGAACTTACACAGAAACAAAAAACTGAATATCACACGTTCTCTTTCATAAGTGAGCCTAAACTTTGGACACATGAGTACAAAGGCAGGAACAACTGTTGCTGGGCACTACGGTGCGGGGAAGGAGAAAAGGGAAATAAGAGGCACACAACCACCCATTGAGTACATGTCTATTACCTTGGGGAGAGAGGACTTACTAGAAACCCAAACTTCACCTGCATGCAATTTACTTATTTAACAAATCCTCACATGTACCCCACAACTATATAACAAAAATAAAAACAGGCCGGGCTCAGTGGCTCTGCCTGTAATCCCAGCACTTTGGGAGGCTGAGGCGAGTGGACCGCCTGAGCCCACAGGTTCGAGATCCACCCAGGCACCTTGGCAAGACCTTGTCTCTACAATAAATCAAAAATTAGCCAGGCATGGTAGTGTGTGCCGGTAGTTCTGGCTACTTGGAAGGCTGAGGCGGAAGGATCGCCGGAGCCCAGCAGGTTGAGGTTGTGGTAGACGGAAGCGTACCACTGCACTCTAGTCTGGGCAATGGAGTGAGACTCCAACTCAAAAATTAATTAATTAATTAATTGAAACATACTAAAATCAAGGAAATAAAAAGAGTGGAAGAAAAATTTGTAATATATCCAATACAAAAGAATTAATGCGCAGAGTAAAAATGAGTAAGTATGATTTTAAAATGAGAAAATATGCAAAACATACTTAGAAAATAAAAGACTATATATTTTTAAAAGTTCATCTATTTAGTATTAAGAAAATGACCAAATAAAATGTCAAGCTAATTATGTTTGACACTGATTAGAAGAAAAAGTAAGTCAATTAGAGAATTCCAAATGATGACCATGGCAAACAAATAAGGCTATGCATGAATGCAAGAGCCAGTGGATACACTGCATGCTATTTCCTATCATTTACACTTTATCCCAATTTACAGCCTGCGGGGTCCCACCCCGCAAGGTCGTGAGATTTCCTGAAGGAGAGACCGATAGGCGAAAGACGAAAACATTATACTCAGACACCTGCTTCCTGAACAGATGACAATTTAATGTTAGTTAACACAGAGCTTTTATACCATTCGTAAAGGGGCAAGATAAAGAAAATTCCTTCACGTACATATCCTCTACAAGTTACCACCATCTAGTGGTCTTAGCAATAAACAAGCCAAGAACCCTGTAAACATTCAGCTAATGAGTCTTATTCATAAGGCCAAAGATGATAGTTTTAGTCCAAAGTCCCAAATTACAGTCCTTGAACTGTCTCCAGAAAGTTTAGCAGTAGTCTTCCTTCTGGGGCTTTATGGCCTTCAGAGTTCTGTAATCACCTTTCTTGTCCAGGTGTCTTCGTTACTTTTCTCTTATCCTGCAGTGCTTGTTTCTAAAGAAAACTCAGAAAAAGCTTTTAGTAATGTTTCCCAGGCCCCCAAGGTTGCTTTCTGTCTTTAGCTAAGTTATCATAAAAGTGTCTGATTGGTATATTATGAGTTCAGTGAAAACCCACTTTATAAATGTTAACTTAGAGTTTTAACTATTGAATTAAGTAAAAACCTTAACGATTAATCTTTATCCTAAGTCAGTGAAAACAGTGTTATAAATCACCCACATAACTCCTATATAAGTATTAGGACTTATAATGAATTCATAATGAACTTACTATAAACTTGTACTTCTAAAAGCCCTTATGTCTAAACACTAAGCTGCATAATTCTAAATCAAATAAGGAGTGAATATACTTATATCATTTTTTACTCAAGCAATATCTAGTAACATAACCAAGTGAAAGAAAGCATTCTTGATGTGCTTCAGAGTTTAACCCTTGCATATGTTAGAAAAGGCCAAGCGGCATAGTGGGAAAATGGAAAAATGAGCCATGACATTCTCAGGTTAGCTGTAATACTTCGCATAAACATGCCATTTTCTTCTTCCACGACTGCACAGAATTTCTTCAGTCGTACCAACAGCAAGGATGGAAGATAGAAGGGCCTCAGCTGCCCGGACTCGCTTTGCGACCGGGGGTCCTCAGTGCACCTGGACTTTGTCAATCAGGCGGGCCTCCAAGGCTGGCTCCCAACAGAGCTACATGTGAGCGCAGAGCATTCACAGCCCCTTTTGGCAGACATGGCTTCCTTGGGCCCTAGCATCCTTCTGCTGCTGCTTTCGTGACTAGACCTGAGATGCCACAGCCTCATACAGTGGTATTAAGGAAGGAAAGTGATGAAAGTAAACTTACTGAAAATGAGGAAGGGCCACTAACTTGTCAACTCACACCCACACTTAGTTCTCACTTCATTGGGCTGATCTGAGTTTTTTGTTTGTTTGTTTTTTTCATGATCACAAACACCCAGTGTAAATACTAGAAATACAAGTTATAATTCCACCCCTGGTATCTGTCTGCCTTAGGCATCAGGCAAAAGAAACCAGAGTGTCTCAGATACATGCCTGGAGACCAATGACATTTGATCAGGACCCCCAGCATGATTCCTCTCCTGAGTTTTGTTTTGAAATAGTTAATCTTGTCAAATGGGCAATTGTATGTCAGGCGAGAAGTCCATGAATTTTAGGCCAATTTGAGGCAAAAGGCTTTGTTTTTCCTAAGTCCATATGGATGGACTGCCAACAATTGCCAAAGTGAAATTAGACTCCCCTGCAAAACTGCTCACGTTATTAATTTGCTTAAACTAGTTAAAAAAAAAAAGTGAATATACTAAAACACTGTATGCTTTAAAGTGAATTTTTTGGTATGTTCATTACATCTCAAAAATGAAAAAAGCTTTTTTATGATGTGTCAATTACATCTCAAAAAAGAAAAAAGTCAAAAAAGAAAGAACCCCCCCAAACAAAACAGACGATAAACACATAAATATAAAAGAATACCTCCCAAAAGACAATCCAGGAGAACATGGATCTAAATCTGTTCACACCCATCCGGCGTCAGCCCCCTTTTAGAGAGTATGAAACGCCGGGCTTTCCAGACGTGTATCCCGCAGACAGGCGAGCCAGCGGACTCAAGGGCCTGGCCGCTAAGCGCGGACTGAGCAGAGCCGGCATTCGAACCCACGGCTGCCGGACTTAGACGCCGCCGTGAACCACCACGGCTCGCTGCGCCCCGCGAGCGCGAATGAGCGAGCGAGGCGGTGGTCCCCGAGCCTCCGCACCTCGCGTCCCCTCGTCCCTGCGCGCGACGTCCTCCCGCGGTGGCGGAGGG